TACTTCCCCATCTCCTGCCCAACTCCATCTGAGACCCCTGTACCATGCTTGTCCGGCCCCAGAAGACCCAGTAAAATTTACCTCGTATGGTAGGTCACCCCTAGCAAGGCACACAGCACAGTGGATTCGGAGAGGGGGATCCCAGGATTCCAGAAGGCAGGGGCACAGGAGAGGGGCCAGAAGGCAATACTATGAACAATATCCGGAGGTGTGGTGCTCAGGGGAGCAGGAAGGTGGGACAACGCTGCTACTTCCCTCTGGCTCAGCTTCTTCTAGTGCTACTGGAGTGAACATCTAATAAAAGCCCATCATCTCCGGAGGCTTGATTTCTTAATTTCTATGTCTGGCACTCTTTGGAACATCACCACCAGAAACCCAACAGGTTCTTCTGTGTCTGATCATACCCTTAGCTATGTGAATGAGCACATGCTGAGGCCGCCCTGAGAGAGTGGCACCGGGCAGATTGTTCTGAAAGCACACATTGGAACCGAACACCCATCCGGAACCACACTGAGGAGGGACGAATTAAAAGGCTCAGTCAATGTTTACATTCTTTTTCGTGACTACTTATTAGGCATTGCATTTTCTAAAATCAAAAATCCCACCTCCTGAGTTCCAAAATAAAAACATATTTATGGTACATAATTAAGCTTCAATTAAGATCTCCTTTGGGTATGTGAGATGATACACATTTCTAGTGCACTCAAATAGGCAAATAGATGCAACCTATTATTTGTGATTGTACAGAAAGCTGCCTATTATGCCAAAACAACATTGGCTGTAATTCTTCCCAAAATCCTAAGGGAGCAATAAGTTTTCCAAAACAGCATCTCTTAAAAGGAATCTTGGCACCTCCTTGGCATCACCAATCCTGATCAAGGTAGTGTTGGGGAGGATAAAGTGTCAGGAATTATATTTTCCTGCTTTTCAATTTTGTCTGTCAAGAACTTGTATGGCAAGGGATGTGAAGATAATTAGGTATGTGGAATAAAGGTGGACAGTTGGATGGACTTGGTTCTCAATTGTCAGGATCTTGTATAAATATGTGGCTTGTACATTTTGTTCCTTTCCTGGTCAGATTAAGAACTATTCTGTTAACAATCATGATTTCCCAGCATTATCAAGAGAACTGAGGCAGATGTTTTTTACTGATATAACTTCAGTTTCTTTGCTATTGGAGGTATCATCCTGCTCAGATAGTGGAAGAGAGTATGGATTGTATATCATCCAAAGCAAAGCACAGGCTTTCCGCAAATTGACTGACAAACAGCATATTGAGTTACGTGGTAATGAATTGAACACACATACTTTCTTTTTTTTTCTTTTTTTTTGATACCAGGGATCGAACTTGGGTCCTTGAGCTTGCAAGGCAGGCGGCATAACCACTGAGCTAAATCCCCAGCCCTGTCCTTTCTTTTTCTGTAAGGCAAAGGGCTTGTCCTACTACCTGGAGAGGAACTGATATTTCATCTCCCACTGCAAATATGAGTTTGGTTTCCTGGAGATTAATATATGCACCATTCTATGATGAAGTCTCATCTTAGGCCCCAAAAGTCTAAAATTTGTTTCACAGTCCATGTGGGTAATGTGATTAGGAACTTGGTATAAGTGATGAATGTTTGAAACTCTTAAATCCGTGTATTCAAACTATGCAGTCATGCAGGATTATCTCATTTGTCACTGTGATTGCAGATGGGGAAGAAAGACTATTTTGCAAGAGTTTGCTTTTATAGAATCTAAAGGATATCACAAGAAGAACTCAGCAGTGCAGCCAAATTAGATCATAATCTTTAAAGTCATGACTAAAATATCTTACTCATCTTTGTGAACCCTCAAATTATGGCATAGCAAGGGCACACAGGTATTTGTTGAACAAATTATTGTAAAAAGAGTTGCTATTTGCCTTTTGGATTTTATAAAAGAAGACTGGGGAGTGAATCAACAAGAACACACAGGAATGAAGGCTGCTGAATAAGTTATTCTCAACCTGTGGAGCCTGAATAGCAATATATTTCTGGTCAAACTCATGTCTCTCATAGATTTCTCTCAGATTTCTCATTATTAAGAGTATTAGTATTATTACTCTTTATGGTAGAAGAAGCATCTATCATTTTCAGCAGCTGATTAGCATCAGAGACTGTTAGGCTATTTATATATATTATTGCTAAATGTTACAGTAACTTACAGTGATACTTCTGTTGTCAAATTGCTCCAAGATCCACTATTGAAACAGCAAAGTTTGAAAAAAATCTGCTGGTGTGTATAACTTCGTTTGACAGTCAAACTGAAAATCCAATGAAAAAAACCTGTATAAGTAGAGAGTTAAGTCATGTGTCTGTCATGTCTTTCTGTGGACACAAAGGGATAACACTTTAGGCTATGAGCACTCTCACCCAAACAGCATATAGTGCTTGTGTTAGTGCATTAAAACATTTGTCATGGGTTTTATTTGCGTAAAATATTGTAACCATGTCTCCAGAGAAAGTAATAATAGCAGTAAAGCTAAAAGGAAATGAGAATCGCAATAGAGTTAAAGAAAGAAATCATTGTGAAATTTGTTAAGGTCCTGGAAAAATGAATTTATAAGTATAATTTTGGGGCCTCAGAACCAATTATTTGGTTTTCCATTATTTCTTGTGGGAAAAATATGTTTAGTTCTTGAACTTTTCAGTGTTCAGACACAAATTTGGAATAAATTGAGTTTTAACAACTGAGGTATCACTGTACTCTCATTTTACAGTTGAAGAAACTAAAGTTCAAATTGCCAAAGGTCAGGAGATCCTGGCTTTACTTCACTGCCAGGCCTGGTAAAATAATCTCTAAGTGTTCAGCTTTATTACTTTAGTTCATGGAGAACTTGATTAGAGGAGACATAGCAATAGTTTTAGAGATCATTTAAGAGATCTGATGCTTTGAAGAAAGGAGCTTTTTTAGCAACAACAAAAATGACCTTTTATCATAAGTAATCTTGGGTGTATTTCTTAACAAAAAAAGTGTATTCTAGTTTTGAAATTTTCCATAGTTTGGGGCTGAGCGCATCTTCTTGAGCCCTACAAATCCTACTAGGCAATTAGTAATACTGCACAACAGTATGAGGCAATGTGCAGACTAGCTGGGGATGGTCTTTGTCCTTAAGGAGCTTACCGTCTACTCCGAGTTGAATAAACGTTAAGCAATTTTTTAATGTTTAAATGCTAAAGGACATTTTAAGAACAGAAAGTAAAGGCTCTGGAAAAGGCAGAGTCAATGCAAATTTGGTGGACATAAAACTATTTCTTAGAGGACCAGCTGGCTGGTGCTGGCTGGGGAAGAAAGAGGCCCTCAGGGAGGGAGGATCACACCCAAGAAGATGGGTGGGTGGGGCTGCAGGGAGTGTGAGGTTCTGCTGCTGGGTGTGGGAGAATGTGAATGTTCTGCTGGAAATCAGAGTAAAATCCTCCTTGGCAGAACCTTTGGGACAGGTCCTGATTTACAACCTGACCTGAGCCGCAAGCCTGCCCCTTCTCCAGTTTCTTCCTCAGTAAGAATCCTGAAGCTTCCTCCTGCAAGATCCAGCGGTTGATCTCTAAAACCTAGGGAGGAATGAAGCCTCAGGTGACAAGGGAGAAGCTCTGGCTCCAAGGAATGCAATTTTGGGTGCTGAGAAAATTCTTCCCCCACATCTGTGGCACATCCCTTAATCAGAGCGCCCAATCTCTCTGTCCTCTCACCCCTCTCTCTCCCCTCTTAGTGAATCATGTATAGTCACTACTCTCCACCTTCCAAAGAACATATTCTCACTTTCCAGAGAACTCCCACTCTCTCTTCTCCTTTCTGGACACACCCATAATCTCCTTGGGCTCCACTAAGCTCACCAGACACTATTAGCAGCACCCTCCAGCTGGTCAGTTCCCTGTGGAGCATCATTCCCTGTCTTGAGGCCCAGAGCCACTGCCCCCCAACCCCAGGGCCTGTCAGGAGCAAGTAGACCCCATCATTGTATTAAAATAGGCTCCACAGGCTACCAGAGGAAAGTTCCTTCTCTTCCCTGAATCTGGATGGAGACTTTCATGCAATTACAACCTACACCCTGAAACATAAATCCAGTTGTCCCCACATGCCAAGCAAAGCTGTCCTCATATATACCAGTCAGGGGCCTGTCCCAAATTTAGCCGTGTTTCCTGCTCACATCTGTTTGTGAAACTCTTAAACTGTCTAAAAGGGGATGAGCCAGGCAAATTCTCTTGGGGGATTTGGTGCAGATATTCATGATTTAACTGCCTGGTGAACCCAAGAACTTACAGAAATGCAAGGAAATTTTTCCCATATTCACTTGCACCAATGCTTAATACATGTGAAGCAGAGAACCAGCTAGCAACCTAATTCCAAATGAGAACTTTAAAAGAGTTCATTGGGAATTCAGCCCATGATAGAACTCTGCTACTGTCCTCCGTCCTGGTACAGTAGTGAGTAGGACGTGGGCAAGAAAGAGGGTGCAGGGTCCCAGATTCTCAGAACCTTCCTTTAAGACCATGTTTGCTGCTGATAAGCAACCTGAGGACATAAATATTGGAAGCACAAAATATGTTGTGATTTGAACTTGGCTGAGCACATGGGGGAGCAAGGCCATTGTGTGTGCCAAGGGCCTTCTTGTCAGTGTTAGCAATAGGCTCATCCAACACCCATGAATTGGAAGCTAGAAACTTCTTAGCAAGGAAGGGCTTCTGTAGCCCCTGTATTGCAGGTGTCATGGGTGTCCATTAACAATGATAATGGCCTTGTGAATTAGGAATTGTTATTTCCACATAACAGGTGGGGGTGAACTGAGGTTTGGGGAAATAAAGCGATTTCTCCATACTAGGGAGTGAGCCAAGTTTTGAATCTTGCTCTTCTCTTCTTGGTCCATTTCCTTAACTATACCACCCTCCTTCCATGTTGTTGGGCTCTCTGGGTATTTTTTATATGGAAGATGTTTTCCTGCAAAAAGTTAATTATTGAAAAGATTTTGTACCTTTCTGTAGCAGAAGCACCAAAAATTTTATCAAGAAAGGGGAAACCAAACCTGGGGAGATTGACAGCCCGGAAATGCACAGTTCAAGAGCAGCTGAGGACAGAAGTAGACAGAAGTGGCAGCCACCAGCAATGGCACCGACTCTCTGGGGATCAGGTAAGAACTGTGGCTGCCACAGTTTGGTCCTTGGGAAAGAGGACTGACTTGTGCTGTTACCTGGTGATTTCTTTGATTTTTAGATGTTTGTGCTTGTATGTGTTAGAGAATTACCTTTAAATGAAGTGCTTAAAGGGTTTTAAAAGCAAACTTCTTCAACACAGCTTTCTTTCTCCATAAGGAGCTAGTAGGAAAAGGGGGTAGGGAGTTGGTCTTTCATTTTTCTTTCTTGTTACTCTATAAGCATGACTGTTCATGACTTTGAGTGGATGTGGGGATGGAGAGAGGTGGAGAAGCAGCTCACAGCTCTGGGAAGGTCCTACCTGGCCATAGTTCCCGCTCATCCCCCAGAAGGCTATGACGAATGTCTATCGGGTGGCAGATGGATCACTTGCCCACCCCACCCTCCCAAGATTTTCCCTCTGATCCAGGGCAATCATAGTCCCAAGATCTTAAATGTGCAAGAAATAACATAAAAAAGAATTTATCCCAAAGCACTGACTTAGTGGAGCCCTTCTTTTTCTAAGTTTCTGTCCTGAGCAAACATCTAACAGCTCGTGCCATCCATTCTACTAACCGTATCACCTTTCCTATGGTGGCAGAAAGGGAAGGAGATCAGGACTTAAGGACTCAAGGAAAGAGACATATCACAGCCAACATTGCCCATAGAGAAACCACAAAACATTACATTTTATTGTTACCAAATGAAGACAGCAAATAACATTAGATTGAATTTATTTTATTCTCATAATAGACTGGTTAAGTGGCTAATCTGAAACCATTTCTCAAAAAAACCCCACTAAATACATGTGGTAGATCAGTGATACATGTTTGTTCTATTAAAGGGTGGAATTTCAAGTTAAAGGTAAGGTATAATAAATAGACACATAGAATATAAATAAATAAATAGACAGATAGATAGATAAATAAATAAATAAATAAAGGTCGCAGCCTTCATATGCCAATGTGGTATATACTGGTGGACACATGTAGAAGGACAGCAGAATTTAGATGTTTCAGAATTAGGAGCAATTAGAGTATGCATGAACCTATAGCAAGGAGACATCCCCAGAAGTCCCAGTGACAGAATGCCTCTGACTAAGAAGGGCAGACCTCAGCTCTAATGTTGCAATTCCTCTTCTTCCTGGAAGAGGCATCCTGGATGATCATATGGTCACTCTGAGCTAGTTTCTTTCCTAAAATAAGGATAATAAAATCTATCTTGCTGCATTGTTACAAAAGCCAAACGAAATAATATATAGACCACTCCTGGCACATAGTACATCCCACAAAAAAAGGCACTGAACTATTGTTAGTATCTGTCCTGCCACCTCCCCAGCAGCTCTCCATGAATTCTCAGCTATTTGAAAGGTGAAGTTCTCCATGCATAAAATGTTCCTAGGCCCATGGGCACATACAATCCTCCATCTCCACCCAAGAGACATCTCCATAATTCTGTGAGCCACTGAGAAATAGTCCCAGTTTTCTCTTATCCTAAGGCTCCTTATCTTTCCCCAATTATCATCTCTCTTTTGTTCCTCTTCTCATATTCTACCGTGGCTTGCATAAATTGGAGTAGGAACCAGATATTTGAATGGTATCAGTGAGTAATTTGGAGAAAATATGACCAAGATATACTGAACACTCTTGCAAATCAATGTAAAAAAAACCATGAATACCTAATAGAAAAATAGGAAAGGAAGATAACAGACAATTTCACAGAAGAAATATTGATGGCTAATAAACATTTTTTTTTTTTTTTT